AAACATAAATTAGACTAAATTAGAAAACAAAATGCACAGAATCTAGATAGGTTTTGATTTCTCTCAATACATGAGATCAGTGGTTCAAAAACTTTTCAGCTTCTGTCTCCCAGAATAATGACCATTTCAAGTTGACACATTATATTGACATACAAAACTCACACTTCCATTTATGGAGCTCCAATGAACATTTTTTTTATTTTATTTTTTTGTACAATATTTATATTTCAATCAAGATTTTTTTTTTTTTACATTTTAATTTGACTTCTGCCAATGATTTTAAGAATCTCTGATGGTTTGTGATCCACAGCAGAGATACAACCACAAATGTTTTGCAGGTTAAATACCATCATCAAGGCATTTTACAGAACTCACATAGTTAGAGCAGCACACATTATTTAAATTGTTTTATGTATCCTTTATTATCATTTTATATATACAGTGCTGGTAAAAATGAAGACCACTGCACTGAACCCCATTGAAAACCTAATTCTTATTCAGAAATATTGCTTTCTGAATTATTCCTGAATTAAAATACTAGTATTGTTGTTTCTAAATCAATATGAAATGGATCATAGTTTTTTACCAAATACAAAAGAGAACTCCTACAATCACTAAAATCTGAACTATTGTGTGAAAACATAGAACTATATTTGATTGAGGTTTAGGTGAGTATGCAAAAAGGCGCAGAAAAATATTTATATTTCAAGGCTTGTTAAAATCAGTCTAATCACTTATGTTAGGTTTTGTAAAGATATCCGTCCAAACACCCATCTGTCCATCCATTCTAATGTGTTTAATTGGTTGTTTCATCAGTTTTCCACATTTAAATATCTGCAATCAATCAATCCATCCATCCATTCTTGTCTATACCAGCTTATCGTTGTAGGGTGCCCAGGGATCTGGTAAATATCTCTAGCGGTTATTGGGTGGGAGGCAGAGTTATCATAACTCAATTGCTACCTTCTATATTCATATTATATTCATATTTAGAACCAAAATGCACAGAATCTAGAAATTTAAGCCTTGGATTGGTTGGGATCTTTAATTTTTTTTCTGAGTAAAGCAGCACTAGAATTTATTGGATCACCAACATTCCAATAGCATTCCTTGAGGAAACCAACACAAACTCTGCATTTCCCAAGGTTTCCTTTGAAAATTCCTCACTAACATCGACTACTCCAGCCTGAATGAAGGCTGAAGGTAGCCTGCAGCATGTTCATGCAACATGCTACAGGCTGCTGGTGTGAGTGTGACCGCTGGTCTGGAGCTAGTACATTTGGAGGCACCTTAAAGTGCGGTAATTAGGCAGTCGGTCGCGTAGCTGTTCTTGCAAGAAATCTTGTCAGGCAGATACCTGCTCTCCAATTATCCAGGCAGAACGCGCAGCCGCTGAAGGGGAAGGACCGGCGAGCGCTTGGTGGATGTGCTGCGTAGTGAGCCGGTCAACTGAAGGAGTGTGTGTTAATAATGACCTGGGGCCCAACCTGCTGTCGCCAACAGTAACTTGTGACTCAGTGCCTTTGTTCGCCCTGTAACATCTGGCTCTGACCGAAGGGGCCGGGAGTGTGTTTGAAACGAGTTCAAGCCAAATGCTCAAACAGTGTTTGTGTGCATGTGCATGAGGGTAGCGAGGCTAGCACAGCGAGGACTAAGTCGCGAGGAGTTGATCATCGTCGTGGAAACCTCTGAGGGGCAGGGGAGAAATAGGGCTGGAAGCCCCTTCTGTCAGCTGGGCTCGCCAATGCTTCCCCTCGACTGCCCTCACACATTAACACACACACGCACGCACACACACACACTCACAAAGTCCCACCGGAGATTAAGGTCTGAGCGCGAGCAGAACAATACCCCGATGTGTGTTTGCAGAGCCGTGGCTAATTGTGTTTATTTGCTGCTCAAGTTGAGACTGTCAGGACAGTGGAGGTGTGTGCGCGTGCGTGTGTTTCTGGAGGCAAGGGAAACGAGAAAAAACGACAGAGGGAGGCTAGCACAAGGACAGAAAAGCAAACGTGTGTTTAGTTGTGTTTTCATAGGGACAAGAGGAACAGAGTGAGGCCATGCAGGTAATCCTCATTATCATGTGGAAGTGTTCATTTGTGAGGCGAGTGAGCACTGATACGTGTGAGGTGAGGTGACCGTTTAGAGGAGGGGGTGGGGGTGAAAGGGACTCATACATCTGCCTGGCCTTGCACGCATTACACAGTAAGATGCACTTGCAACGGTCCTTGGAAACACACACACACGCACACACACATGTTTGTGTTGCTATCTTTGTGGGGACTTTCCATTGACTTACATTCATTTCTACAGCCTAAACCTTACCTCTACCCTTTTCCTAACCCTAACCATCACATACCTAACCCTAGCCCTAACCAAAACTCAATTCATACCTTAGTCCTAACTCTGACCCCATACCCAAAAGCAGGGTTTCCCCTTGTGGGGGTATTACAAACAAACACGCACACAAACACACGCACACACACACACAATGTACGAGCACATGCTGTCTGGCATCGCGCATGAATTAGCTGCTCATGCTTACATAGCACTTAGAGAAATTAGAGCCCTGTTTGCCTTCATCTTGGAAAAACATGCAATCATGCTAATAAAAGTTACTTTCCACTGAAACTATCTGAAAGGACGGATTTTCAATTATCATGTGTTTGCTGCTTGCCTTTGCCAGCAGTCATTCTTAAAATACTTTAAAAATGAGGTTATGTTTTGACATTTTTAATTGTAAAAAAAAATTATTCTGGCCTGTTTTGACTTATGAATATTTAGTACCAATTTCAGTAATCCTGAAAATTTAAATTCATTCAGATTAATGAACAGAGCAGACGTTCTGTCAAATCTAAAAGTAGAATATCATTTTGAAGGAGGTTTATCTTGATTAAACCACAGTTAGTTTGTTCCAGAGAGAACGAACACCACAGTGAAGTCTGAACAATCTGAATAACAATTCCAGTTGCTGAATCTGGTAAAGAATTTGAAAGTTGAGTCGATGTGTGCACAGGTAATCTGTTTGACGTTGCTATTTGGACATTAACAGCAGACATTAATCCAGTCAGAAAGTTTGAGATAGTTTAGAAAGTAAAGTGATTTCTTAGGTTAATATGTAATCAGGTTAACATTTCCTACCTTGTTTCTTGATGTGGATATGGAGGTAGTTACAGGAATAGTTACTAGAACTGGAGCGTGTCAAGGTTTAGAAGGTTTTAGATTAATTTCAAAAGTACTGAAATCAGTCAGTGGAAATGTAGGAACACAGAATAACTAACTGTAATCTTGTTTTCACTGTGTTCACCTCCAGCATCAGCTTGCTGTCTACATATATACATTCCTAATTATGTCAAATAATGTAACTCTAAAATATGATGCCTTGATCCTTGGTCAAGCTGGAACTTTCAGATTTGATCTGCAGCACTGTTTTACCTTTTTTATGAATGGACTCAGTGTGGCTGTTTGTCTTTAAAAACCGAACAATAGGGGCCAATTGTTGGTGCTGTACTCCTAGTGAGACAAAAAAAATGAAAGCGGAGGCAATCAATGGCAAATAATGTCATCTTGGAAGGTCATACCTGGACCTTTCTGCTCTGTCGATACGATCACACGACCCCACGCACACACACATCATAATTACAGCAAAATAATAAAATACTCACTAGCCATCGGACGCTTGTAGAACATTTCTAATGATAAAATGACAAGCGCATGCAAACTGCAATAATAAACTTGCACTTTGTCTCTCTGTGCTCGCCTCACATGTGAACTCTGCAGGTTCCTAAGCGGTATTCAACCTCCCCGCCTGGCCACGCTGCAGTCTCCCCAACGCTAAGTGTCCCTTTCTCCTCCCTGCCCAGGGTGAGAGAAGGAGAAAATAAACAACCAAACAGACAAACAGCAAGAGCCACTTAGAGCCACTTAAAGCCAAGGCTCCTTCCCACAGCGAAGCACTTCCCTAGGGCTACTGATGTCACCCCGCCACTGTGGGAGAGAGAAGAAGCAGCAACAAAAAAAGCTCAGAGAGAGAGAGATCGAACAGAAGACTGAAAGGAGGACAGATACAGAGGTGCAGGAGGAAAGAAAAGTTTAAGAGGAGAGGAAATGGGAGATGGAGAGCTGAAAGGATTGGGCTCAATGAGGGAATGTGTCACGTCAGTTCTCCTCTTGACTAACTCAGAAGGTGAGGAAGATTCACTCTTATGACCACTGACAGTTACCTGTGGAGACGAGGGAAAGCCCTGCTAATGAGTTAAGACACTACTCGTCCCTGCTGTGTTCTTTACTGAAGTAAAAAATTTAATTTCTCTAAGAATAGAGAAATTATTATTTTTTACAGAAGAACCACAAACATATTTCACTGCAATTCATCGACTGAGTCCCAGTATGTATCTGTTCTATGAAGACGTCAGAGAAGTCAATGGCTTTCCATTACAAATGTGCAAATCTTTGACATTCTGCTAATGTCAACAAGATACAGCTTTGCAATTGTGGTGTTTCAATCAAATAAGAAATAAAATGAAATCACAATGAATAAGTTTGTTCAGTTATTACAAATCAAGGCAGTGATGGACGTAAAAAGTCATAATTTATCAATGGCGTTCATCATCTGTCAGTCAATCAGAGATCTTGGCGTCTTATTTAGGCATTGGAGGGACAAGCCCCGCCTAGCTGGGAGCAGCTATGCTGTGTTTTGAGGAAATTGTAGTCAGCCATTTTACAGAAGAGCTATGGATTCAACATGTTGGAATGACACAACTTTTTATGAACTGTGATGCTGTGAGAGCTTTGGTGGAGCTCTGGTGGTTTTTCATACATTGTATGAAAAAAAAATCATCGTCCTCCAACTACTTCTTGTCATCTTTTTCGTGGTTTTCACCAGTGGTAACATCTGGCTATTGATCATGTGACTCATGTGACGTGGAAAAAGTGTGTTCATTGCAGTTTTGCACACAGATGAGAAAAAAACTTCATCCCAGCGCAAAAACTTTTTATCAAAGAATGTATTTTTTTCAAAGTTGCCATATTTCCATTTGTAATTTCAATTTACGCTATTTTAAATCTAATGGAAACACAGCTAAAGACTTAACGGGATTGAATGGTCTTCTCTGAACCACAGTCTTTTCACTAGTTGCTTTTATGAACCGAATTGGCCGGATACTACAACTGTTACCAGGATCAAACTGGAACAAAAGAAAACAAGGCAACAAATAAAGTAGATGGTGCTCCGGTGAGACGAGGGCAAAGTTGAAGATTGAACACACCATCCCCATGAATAAACATGGTGATGGCAGTATCATGATGTAGAGATGGTTTTATTTCACGAGGAGAGTCGTGAGCTGAATGGAGGACAACCCTAGAAGAAAACCTGGAACAGAGCTACAAAGAATATCCATGCTAGAGTGGACCAGTCAAAATCCAACAAGACAAGTTTTAAGTAGCTTCTCTTTCTTATTCAAATATTTAATCTGTGTTCCCTTTTCATAGTTTTCCTGGTATTCCATCCTTTGCTGTCTTGATTTGCACTCTTTGTACTCAACCTATTTTTTTTTGCCTCTCCCTCTTCTTCCCCCTCTTTATCCCCCTGACTGTGATCTCAAAGGTCATCTCTCCCCTGAGAGTGCTGTTTATCTGAACCGCTCCCCTCTTTCTGACATTCACCTACTTGGAGGGAGAGGAAAAAATAGGGAAAGAATAATTCTCTTGTCTTTTTACTCATAAAATGTGAGTTTTCTACCAGAAAGAGAAGATCTGTTTGGGATTTAAAGGCATTTTTAATCTTCCAAAAAGAAATCCATCCTACAAAAACTTTCTAATGTTTACTGAAGAGATCATTTTAAAATGGCCTTGGGAAAGACTCATCATATGTGTGCATCATTCATCTTATTTATCAACACTTTAAAGACAAGACGGCTCTTTTCCTTGGAGTATAAAAATGCCACAACACGGATGTTTTTCAAAAGTTGTATTTTAAAAAAAGAAGCCAAAAGACGAGCAGATTGTCTGAGCAGCTTCCTGGACTCTGCTGCCACTAAACAAGGCTAACAGTGCGTGTTTATGTTGAGCGTTATGCATGCTGATGGTGACCCGGCCCCCTACATGGCTCCCCACCCCTCAGGGCTTCCCCTCCCAGGGTTAGGGCAGCAGGATGAGGTCACACAGACAAATCCAGACCCCCGCTCCATGGAGGCCTGCCCATGGCCATCAGGATCCATTACCAGGAGGTAACGGACACACTGCTGCCACAGGAGCACCGTCTTTCCTTCACACACATCACACACAAACACACAGGCGCGCACGCAGACACAGACGCACACACACTTAAATAATTAGTAACCCGTAATAGAAACATTGCATTTCCTTACTTACATATATTTACATCTAACATTTTAATTTGTGTGATTAAATGTAATACTACAGATCCATAAGTACATGTATGTTGAAGTTCACACATGCACACACACACCTGATACTGACTCAGGCCATCAGCAGCTAGCTACAGAGGTCCTTACTTCAAATGGACATTCTCAGAGGGACTGACCTTCTGGGAGACGGTGGGGTGTGTGTGTGTGTGTGTTTTTAGATGTGTGTATTTTGTGACTGCAAACTTGTCAAAATTTTGGGACGGTAAAGTATAACTAACAAAAACAATTGTGAACAATGTTCTTTATAATGTAGACCATCTTTTGGGTTTCTTTTCAGAAGCATCTCTTCATAGTTTACTGAAGGTTGTGGGAAGACCTTTTCAGATCTATCCACAACTTCTCAGGGCTTTGTGATGGCCACAACAAAGCACTGACTTTGTTGTCTTTAAGCCACATTGTAAGCTGTTTGTCTGGATGCTTAGGGTGGATGTTGGGTAAGTCACATTTGGGATGGCACAAGCGTCCCTGTTTTTCCTCTGAATGTAACAATGGATATTATGGCTGAACAGTTTCATCAGTCCACAGGACATGTCTCAGAAAATAGATATTTGTATCAGACAATGCTGATACATGAGAAGCCGATCCGCTCTATCTCTGCGAAGGTCTGAAAATCAGCCACTGATGCCCTGAGAGAGAACTGATTGTGAAGTTAACTAGTCACTAAATTAGTCCCAACAAAAAAAACCTGTAGCAGTGAAAATCGGAATTGGTAGGTGATTGGTCCAATTGTTCCATCCCTTCCATGTAATGTTAGGGTAACAACCAGTCATTTATTTTGAATAAGGTCACTCAGCGTAGCTAATAATAACCATTTACTCAAATGACTAACAGTCCCCAGCTTAAATTTGGTCCTGTTTATATGAGATAATGATTTTCATGAGACTCCAGTCCTAGTCCCTGACTCTGAATGAGAGTCAAGTCTCCAATCTACAGAGCATCAGTGTAAGACGAGTCTCAAGTCTGTTTTTGCGACTTAATTTTGATTAATTTTTGATTAATCCAGACTCGCATCCAGACTCGTCTCTGCCATAACCAAAAATTTACAATCTGGCACCACTGCCAAGTCCTGCTGGTCCGTTTTATGTTCGAACCTGTTCAGAAGATCGGTTGCTCCACAGGAGCAAAGAAAATGAGAAACAGAAAAAGACGTACAACATCGTTTGGTTAACCTTTTCCGATAAGACGAGGCCGGTTTGGACATTTCTCAGCCCACGAAGTACATCGTAAATACCAAGCTAACAAACAGATGTGAGTTAAATGATCATGAATTGGTTCCTGGATGAGCCAAAGCCCTAGTTTACAGCCAGTAATGTAATGTTAATAGAGACGTCAAGTCCAGCGGTCCAATCCATCTGTCTTACAGAGAAAAAAATATTAGAGAAAATGGAAAAGAATCATGAAGCGCTTCAGACCGAGGGATCAAACAGAGCTGTCTCTGTATCCTTTGCTCTCTGCTCCGTTCTTTGGCTTTTGCCTCTTGTGTGTCTGGAGTGTCAGCTGTGACCGGCTAACAAGCTTCACCCTCAGCAATCCATTATCTAGAGCATGGCAACCGGCCCATACCTGCAAGGTGCGTACGTGTGTGTCGGTGTGATTCAGAGCGCGGCAGCTGTGTCATACCTGCGAGCGTCTTCGGGACTCGATGCTCATCCGTAATGGAGCAGAAGGCGAGGATTGTTGGGGCAGATGAAGGACAAAAGCGATATCCTCTGTGTCCTGTCTGTCTTTTTCTCCTGCCGTCTCCTTGCAGCACATGAAGGGCATCGGGAATGCTTTTCATCTCCTCCTTAAAGGACAGAGAGGTGTCAGTGTGCCAGAGGCCATGGACGCTCACACATTGACACATATGCAGTCAGACATGGCTGGATGGAGGCAAGCTGCATGAATTAATGTTGAAAAAATGCAAAGAAATGCCAAGGACATTTCTCACTCTGCTATCGATTCTGATCAAGAAGCAAAAAACGTTCAGAATATCAGAGAAGGGTTAGAAAGTTGCTCAAAGTAACACTCCTGTTCATTTTCTCTCAAAATCCCCTTTGTAAGTAGTTCCTTAAGCTAGTAGACCATCATGATGAGCAAATATCTAAATCTGTCTGGATTTCACGATTGCTTTTTTTATTTATTTATTTTTATTTATTTTTTGGTTTTGTTTTTGCAATCAAATTCACTTATATTCACTGATGTATTTTAGAAATATTTATAAGGAATTTTTCATCATTAAAGCTCAACCAAAATCTAAATACAGAAAAAAGATGAGAAAAAACAAGAATTGTACACACAAACATTTTTGATCATTAAAGAACTTAATTATCTTAATTTTTCTTACTCATCATATCTTGACATCCAATAAGGCTAAGAAATACCGCCGCCTGCAGGTGGGAGTTAGCTTCACTTATATCAAATGTTAGCAATATTGGCGTAAAATTTGCAATAAACTCACAATTATGCATTAGTGTGAAAAAATTGGTGGATTTGTTGTTTTTGAGTGAATTTCTGCAATCACACACACTGACACACACATATGTTTGTCAAATTACAATGCCATAAATCCATGGAGACTTATTCTGAACAGGCGAATGAAGTAGTGCTTTAAGCTGCGATGCCATTTCATTAGACCCCCATTCAAACCTGTCATTGTCCCTCCTGAAATACTTCAATATATTAATTACAATATTACAGTTTATCCCCCAGCTACCCGTGGTTACAGGATGCTAAATTTACTTCTTCTGATTAATAAAAAATAAATTCAATTGAGGAAATATTCAGCTTCAAGGAGCAGTCGTGATTAACTTGATTATTTGCCAAAGCGGGCGGTTGTAATTGACGAGCTGCTATATTGGCAATAAACAACTGGAGTGGTTTGATTCATGATGGCTGTTTATTTTACCAGGCGGGAGATTTTTCTACAGACTGTTTTGTTTCACTGTGTTTTTAATTAGTCAACAGCTCACTATGGTGTCTGGATAATTATGAATTGTTTCTTTGAGAAGTGCATTCCCAAACATTTCAGGTGTTTTCAGAATTTTTTTAAGTTGAAGAACTTTTAATTTTTAATCCATGACTTTTTATTTGCTTTATTGTGCAAGTTTCAACAATTTTTTTGGAAAAGTATATATCCAAACTTTGGTGTTAGAGAACTACATCTTGCAGTCACTTAGTCTACCAAGCACTGGTTGGTTGGGATTGACGTCTGTTGTGTGGGGTTTGCTAAACTCAACTAAAAGTCGAACTGGAACAATGTACTTTGTTTAGACTAAAATAAACATTTTAAGCAACAAAATCCTCTTTCATGGAACAGTTACTTCATAAACCCATAGAAAAAGGCTATCTAACTTGCATCAGATGTGACAACTGTTTGGTTCTATGTTATTTTCTGCATTAGGGCTGCTGGAGGAATTATATTTAGCTGAGGTCCAGTGATGTCTTTTTCCCTGAACACTTCAGAGAAACTTGTTCTGTGAATCTTACGTAGACTGGTCTTTGTACAAGTCAGTCGATATGGGACTGAGACTGCCTTGTCTGGAGAGTCAAGTGTGTAATGGCGATGGGTTGACTTAGACCCCCTTTGTTATTTTACAAAACACAGGGAGATGGGAAAAAAAAGTGTTCTAATTCTGCCTTAGAGTGATTTGTGTAAGGGGCTATAAACTCAAGGAGTCCATCCATCCATC